AAATACTCCATTTTTGAAGAAACACATCAACAAAACCGTTCTAGTAGACGTACACTGTTTACAATTCACATATCGTCACTGTCACGACCGTACCCAGTCTCGTATTGGATAATCAGGATTTAAACGATAAATATCTCACGATAAAATTTTTTATTTATATTAATCAAGTAAGAAACAGGATTGGCCGTGCAAGGTCTCGTGAGAAGTGCGACGCCAAAAATACACTGCGAGAAGCCGTAACGTAGGTGAGCAGTCGAGAGTCGAACGGTTTATACTGTTCTCTGGTCAAGCCGTTAGGTGCACGTGTACCCGAGGAACCGCGAACGCGCGCGCGCGCATTTGAAAACACACACAGGTGGTTCAGGGGATCTCACTTTTACTTCGTCGCCCTTCGACAGACGACCACGAACGATCGATCACTCGCTTCGAAGAACGCACCACGCACGATACGTCAATTCCAATGAAAATTCTCATCGTGTTCTTTTACCATTTTCTTCCGCTTTATTTTTCGACACTTCATCCAGGTATTCGTTATGTTCTCAAGAATTTTATAGAAAACTAAAACAAAAAACGAAATATTTATATCGTGGTCTTAACGGAATAATTTGAAGTCTCTTTAATGAAAAGTTGAGTAGCTATAATTTTATATCACTGCAGAAAACTTATAAAATTATTCAAATCAATGATCAACTTACATAATTCACGGTAATTACAAAGTGAGATTAAAGCAATCTATCGGAACGTCAGAGACACCGTGCCCGATATCTCACCAATGAAGTCCACGGAGAAACTACTCGAAAGGTTCGACGTATCGCAGGAAACGATGAACTGGATGGTAGGAGAGTTAGATAGAAATGGGTAGGGCCCTGCAACTTGCATTAGGTTTTATGACTGCCAAGGTCAGCTGCTTTCCATAAAAATGGCGGCGTGAACGTCTCAACAACTGCAGCTCAATTAGTAGGAGAACAAGCATTCGCTTGGACTATACAATGATGATGGAATTAACGTCTCCTCGCGTGCCCTATATCGTGCTTTTAACTTTGCTTCCAACATAGAGACGCTACAGATTATGCATTTATCGTAGCTTAATGATAAATGGAATAAATTGTATCATTTATTTAAATTAAAATTCCCAAGCTGGCCATTCTAACTTTAAATATTAAATCCCTAGACAGTTCTAGTCAAAAATTTTTGTTTTATAACTGTCACTTTTTACTATAGAGAAACAAACCGTTATGATTGGCTGAAATTAGTTTTATGGCGGTCAACAACCAATCAGTTTTCGAATAAAGTATCTCTCCCAAGAAAGGACATAAATTATCAGCTGATCGCCCACATGTGGTGCCACGGTTTATTGACGATAAATAGCATAAACGTGTATACTTCTTATGTTATGTTTATTTCTTGTTTGTTAAAAATAATATATATGTACAAAACGTTTCGTAATTATTTTTCTCACTATAGCCATCATTACTGAACTATAAATTTTATCACGAATCAAATTAATAAGATAATCAGCAACATCTGGTAATATTAAAAAATTATCTACAAGCTACTAAATTCAAAATATATTTATTTACTTTATTAAAATTTGTCAATGTATGGAAAGAAAGAAATCGGATTATAGTGAAAATTACATGATTATCGTTTTATTAGATAACGAATGAACTGAGTGAAATGTATTAAGTTCTATGATCCAATAAACTTTGATACTATAATGTATTCTATTGCATACATAATTTCATGCTTATTTCAACACAAGTAGCTTAAAAAGCATGCATAATACAAATCTGTATTTGCATGACTTGCATATTTCCGCTATAGATATACACAATAAGCATTATTATTAATATTTCGAAGCATTGAAAACAAACAACATATTAATAAACCTGAACAACAATGTATCGATACCAATTTTTTACAGAGTTAAATTCCAAATTGTTACAGCTTTGTATAACGACAATGCAAAACTACATTTACATTTAAATTGTACTATTGCGCTAGCTATTTTAGTATCCTATACAGAGGATAAATAAAATTCTACTGCGTATTTGGAACAAAATAGTGCTGTATATTACGACATAAAAGAGAAACGATTAATTTCAACCTATTCATTATCTCAATACAGTTGTTTACAATCTGCAAATGTATAACTTTACGGCATATACTAACAAAAAATTATTACGATAGATTTGAATTGAGAAAAACAGTATCGATACCTGTAGATCAATTATCACCATACCTTGATAAAGCACTGGGCAATTCAAACTTGACAGGTAATCTTAACTTGTGCATTTTACTTCTACGTACACGCACTACTTTAGATTTTCAGTTTTTCACTACTCGAAACGTGCTAGAAAAGCGTGCGGTTTACGACAAACGATCGTAACAGAAACATAACCAACAAACGTGGATTCGACTTTCTTCGTTTTGGACAATGCGTTCCGCGGGAGTGCAACAGAAAGGTAGAGAAACACATGTATCAAACAACACGTAAACTAACCAACAATACTTCAAAAGGGAAGAATTCAAGTGAATGACTTTTACATGGACACTTGGATGGCTAATGATTCCTTTCTGGCTCACAATCTTTCAGGGATGGTTGAAGATTAAATCTACGACGTAAACTCATATCGCGATTACTCTATTATTTCAATTTAGACGGCCGGCCGTTCGATGTTCGTTCACCACACGCACTGTCCACACTCATAACATTTTTATGGGATCCACTGTGTACCGTATAGTTTCAGAAAATTGACACTTAAACAAAAAAAAAAAGAAATTGAAGATGGCGTCAGCCAGTGGGCCGTGAACGTGTAAAACGAGGACTAGTTGAGCGAGCCAAAGTGCTCCGAATCATCGTAGCATTTTCCTCCTGGTATAGGCCATCGCATTCTGTAAAGCGACACTCACGTAGCGGCGATTGGAGTAGTTGATGGAATTTACTACCGACAGCTGCTAATCATTGACTTTATCGACTTACATATTGGCGGTAGATTCAAATATGCAGAAAAATTTTTTTTATTGCAACTTTTAAATCTCCAATTTATTCACAAAACTGATTAGAGAAAAAAAGCTATTTAAAGATTATAATAATTACTTTGATTAAACTAAAAAGTAAAAATTATATTTATATACATATACATATTCTATAAGAATATAGAACATATAAAATAAATATAGTTCCAGTATTTTTTTCTTTGAAAAATATTATACTAGATTGAAAACACTGACGGTTCGGTAACTAGCGCAATCTAACCTAATTTTATAACTACTGTAGTTAAAATGATAATTAGTGTCTATTTCTAATAAGTAGTAGTGTCAATATTACTGTATAATAACATTACATTAATTGTACCTCTCATCAGTGATTGATTCCGTTAAATGTTTAAAACACTTTTATCGTGATATAGTACAATATGATACAATTTATCTAATACTGCAAGAAGGTATTGATATTTAATCGTTGTATCACTAAATAAGCTTAACATTGGTGACAAGCGATAAAAGCATAAGCAGCTTGGTTGAAAATCCTCATTTACTTGCTTACCTAAACAACGCTTTCCTCCAGCAGTAATCCGTTTCGATTACGAACAACTGCAATTTCATCATATACGTCGACGTTGCTCAAGACATATAAAATTGTCAAACACGTCGGCTGGTGCTCGTTCGAACACCAACTTAGAATCTTTTCCACCTTCACGAATTCTGTGCGTATGTTTCCACTGTTCAGGGCGCGACTCGTGGACGACCTAATTCACGGTTATCGATCAATCAAAAACAAAGTGCTTGAACACGTAGAAATAGACGAAGAACTAATAACTGGAAAAATACGCTGTGGACCTCCGAAAATCTTTTTCCTTTCGGAAACTGTTACACGTTATTCGAAATTTCGATCACGATACATCTACCGCGCACCAGGACATACCACGACGAAGTTTCTTCGCCTTTTCTCTATGACTTCTTGTTAAATGTTCTTGCGATCTCGTAGCCGTTTAACTTTCTTGAAGAAGTACTCCGCGGATAGATACCACGGTCGCATTTCGTCTTGTCGCAGTGGAACTCGAATTGTGAACGAAAGAACAGTGGAGCTTTCATGAAATCTCCACTGGAAAGCCCAAGAGCGCCGTACAGGAGGTCATTTTGAAAAGCGCAAGCGCTCTTTCATAGATCGCGCTTTTCTCATAGGCGACTCGATGGACTGATGGCAACCAGTGACGTCACTGCGGAAAGGAGATTCATTCACGAATGTTCGACGCCTCCGCGTCTATAAGGCCAAGGACCTTCCCTTGGAAACTAGTAGGCATATATAACCAGTCGGTGTCTTGGAAAATACTTCCATAAAGATTATAGACTGTGACTGTATCTCCTATAATGTTGAAATATTTTTTTTTCTCTAATACAAGCTTTCTTTAATTTTATTTAATGTCAATCATATTTATTATAGTTATATACAATATTTACAATATTCACCTAATTTATGAGTGTAATTTAATAGTATAAATTTCATTGACAACAACTTCAAAGATTAAATTAGTGTTTATAAGAAGTCTATATTATCTAGTTATAAAGACATTGTAAATAATACCTGGTAGCACATCTTAAGATTATAATTCAATATTTATAAACTCATCTATCTTTGAATTGTAATGATGGTATAAAATGGAAGGTAATATAATAATTGCCCAATTTACAAGTTTATGATATCACCTACAATATAGTCATTTTCATGTGTTTCATAACGCACAACATTAAAGAACAGTTTTAAAGATAAATTTAAATTATTCGTTTTCTTAAACTATATTACCACTTTTGTATTTATATTACCACTTTATATATCAATTTATGAGTAAGTATACATGAATCTATGAGTAAGTATTCAAAAATATTATTTTTGATTTAAGGATTCATAGTTATATGTTAAATATAAAACCAATTTGTGATTGGTTAAAGAAACGAACAACGCGCCAAACATAGTACATGTTTAGAAAGAAGAACCAATCAAATGACGTGTTTTATATGATCATGTTGTCCGTGAATGTCTATCTTATTTTAACTTTTCGCCTCTAACCTGAAGAACTACAAATAAACAATAATCAACAAAGCAACATTGAGGAAAATCTATACATTAATTATCCATATCAATTTAAATATATAGTTAAATTCATAATGGTAAGTTTTTTTGTTAATATTACATTATTTCTTATAGTTCTGGTATGACTTATCTCAAAATAAGATAACCTCAAATATAATCAAGATCTTCGTCTTAGGATGTATTTTTAATGATTCGACGAAAAAATATAACGATATTTACTGACGCCAAGGATAATACGACAGTTTTTGAACTTAAAAAAATTATAGAAGGTATGAAACTTACAATTTACATGTATTTAAATTTAAAGAATTATGTAGTATGACATTTCATTTTTTTTATTCCTTTTATTAAGATTTTCGTGAATATTATAAATATTTGTAAATTTTTAATTAAAATAATTTAGAACAAAATACAATTAAATCATAGGTATATTGAAAATACCACCTGTGAATCAACTGCTGTTTAACAAGGATAATGTTCTAATGTCAGATAATAAATTTTTATCTGATTATCGACTAACATCAGCAACTGCAAAACCACAGTGTCCTGCATTAGTAGGATTAGCTATACGCCAAGAAAATGGTCAATTCGAATCTTTAGAAATGACACCATTCTCATTACCACCTGATCTACCAGATGTTATGAAATCTCAGGAAATCAATGGACAAGAACAGTCACCATGAAACATTATGAACCAACTGATGATAAGGTGTTGAATTCAATATAATTTTATAATTGTCAAATATTTCTAAAAAAGGATAACAGCTTAAATAACATGATACGAATATTAGGTACATACAACTTTATACAAATATTAAAAGTGTCTTGAGGCTTTTTAACTTTCTTAGATGAAACTACTAGTAATTATTGATTTTTTGGTTTTTGTTGTTTTTTTGTGAATAATCATCAAGTACTATTTGTATTTAATCATTTGACTGAAAAAGATAATAAAAAGTAAAATTTATGATCCAATATACCATTCAAGTTTATTATAATCTTTTTTAAGTAAAGAGTATTTCAGTACTTTGTTATTGCCAAGATAGACCAAATACCTCAATCACATATAATTTATGATTGTAGTTTGTATTTTATCTTGTAATATTTTATAATATTGCCTATCAATTTAATTTTTATTTGAATACATTTTTTTAGTTTATAAATTTCTGTGAATTTTTTTTATAAAGCTTGAAATACAAAATGCCTCAAATTTTGTAAAGTATATATAGCAATGTCACTTATTACTTAAAGTGCAAAATTAAAAAATATTGATTGTAAAAATTTTGAATATTAGGTTTTACAGTTACAAAATAGAAATTTGAAAATGTGATAAATTATAAATAGTGTACGTAATTTTAACAAATTAATTACATTTGATACATTACATCAAGTGAATGATCATTTTGGTATAAAATACAATACTTCTATCAATTATATTTTGCTATAGTATAACACCTCATAAACTTTATTTACATATTCATTAATTTATTTATTTGAAGAATTGCATATATATTTGTTACATAGAAACATGAATTAAAGAATTTATATGCAGTATAAGAATACATTAAATGTATTCATGTAACATTTAATATATAAAATACTCCCAAATGTGTTGCAGTATCGTTATACAAAAATTATTATTTAATGCATTAAGTAGGTTTAAATTGCTTAAATTAAACTAACAATGTATTAACAAAATTAAAATGTCACTGTACTGCAATAAGTTAATTTAATTACTGATTTATATCCAGTCAAACATAATATTCTTAAAATTATTAAACAATGTTCAATATTGTAGACATTACTAAGAAAATTTGAAAATAAAATGATAACCTTTATAGATATACACTACTGCAATGGTAGACTATAAATCTACATATCTTGAAATTAAACATAATGAGTAAACAAAATACATAAACCAAGACAGTTGACATCTATTTAAGCATTTAACTTCCTACATATAAAACATATTTCATCTTAACCACAAAATCATAAAGTTTGTATGAAAGTATGCATGAACAAAATAATTAAGCTAAACTATTAACATATTCTACTATATTCAATTAAATAAGGCACTATTTAATACATTTTTAATAAATATATAATTTAAAATTACGAATACTGAACATTTTAAATTGGTAGTGCCTTTTATAAAATAATGTAATAATTTTTAATCATACAATAATTAGTGCAAAACAATAAAAAATTATGTATGCTTTATAAAATCATCTTAATTTATTATGTTCTTGCTCTCTTGTTTCGATTAATATATACATGTGGCGGCTACGATACCGCTGCTACACCTTTGTCAGAGGACAAACGTGAATTATTGCGACTAGTTTTCATTCCTTTCTTTGTTTCTTTCTTGTATATTTCTGTTTTTATCCGAATCCCGTGCGAACCTAGTTGTCCGAATATTCATTTGGTAACTAAGTCCCATACGAGGTTTAGCTATTGTCCTCCTACTTCACTTCCCGTCCCTAATACTTCTGTCAAAGATTCGCCTGGGCCGGTTGGGCAATTTCTAGCTAGGTCCAGGCGAACCTCTTCACTTTCTATTCTACGGCCTTTTTTCACCGTTTTCCTCGCAAGTCTGTTTTTCCTCTTGCGAGTTTAAAGTTTTCTCTGTTTTCTATTTCTTTTTTTCCCCTTCTTTATAGTCATAAGCGTTATATATTGATGACGGTCGAAAGGCCAAAAAGTTAGTAGTTAATTGGTTTTTGTCTAGTCTAGAGAAACTGGAGTTACGTCGGGTTTGTGAGCAAGAGCGTTCGTCCTCATTGAGTTCTGTGTCACCGTGCGTTCAATACCGTTTTTGTACTTTTTTTTGTACATCACCCAAACCTCATACAACTCTAAACATAAAATGTTAAGAAATCTCATCTATAGTGCATATTGTAAAATACTTATTTATAGTTAATTTTAATAAATTGACCAATATCGCTCAATGGTACTTATATTTTACAGTCTACATAATTATATATTATTGATTATTTTTGTTTTTATTTAGTAACATTTCTATAATAAATTCTTTATAATGTTCTTTTTTGCCTGGTATATAATGACCACCTTCATGTATTATATCTGTTTTATTTATAAACATTTCACTAACTTCTCTTGCCATTTCTGTAAAAAATTCAATGTAGTAAGAATTATTTACTTTATTAATTGATTAAAAACCATTTTTCACCTGTTGGTATTACTTGATCATTTTTTCCATATACATGTAAAGAGGGTATACTTATCATTTCATTGTAATATATTGCATGAGGTGCACATAATGATTTAAATCCTGATATGATAATTACAAAATCAAATTTAATTTGCAACACTACAAAATTGCCAATTATTTTTAATGTAAATTCCATGTTATAATTTATATACATTTATATCAATTATAAACTTACAGTTTTTTTGCTTCATAAAACAAAGTATAGTAGCAAATGCTGCACCTTGTGAGAAACCTAAAATACCATCAAAAGAGCCAAATTCTTGAAATGCCTTTTCTATCACAGCTACACTATCTTCAAAACCTACAGCTAAATTGCTTGGAATTATAGCTTTAAATATATGATCTTCTGTATTGAACCACCATCCATATGCTGTAACATTTATTTTTTAGTATTAAATAATTAAAAAATTATAAATATTTTATTGTATTATCCTTAAATTAATCAATTGTAAGGTATATAAAATGGTACCTTCTTCTGGTCCATCAATATTAAAATTACTTTTCATTGGCACTTTATGTGGACCTCTTAAAAATACAAAATCAATTTGTTTCTTAAATGCTTTCCGTAGTGAACCCAATTTTGATTTAAAAACAACATCTGACTGAGCATATCCATGAATTGCAAGTATCTAAAATATATGAATGCATATATATATATATATCAAAAATATTTTCTTTTGCAAGTTGTATTAATGACAATTTTTACCCTCAATTTATTTATTTGATTATTCATGATATCATTAATAAATATCTAAAATAATTATCTAATATTAGGTATTAAATTCGGAAGGTTATCAATAGATGAATTTTAATTTTTAATTCTAAACAATTTAATTTATTCTATAATAAAAAAATTCTGCAAATTACACAATTTTTCAAGTAAATTAATTTATATAAGAAACTTTATATTAGGAAGAAATGAATACAAGACATGATTAGACGACATTTGATTGCCAAAATGATAGGTTAAGTCTAATCTAAATTTTGTGTATACAGGATATGACATAAAGTATCGATTTTTCAGGCGCCTTCGATAGTTTGACAAAAATATATTTACAACAAAAGTTAATCAGTATTTAGTTGGCTGCACATTGAAATAGAAAAAATTCCGAAACCTATTTTTTTCCATGACACCTTGTATTTTTATTTTCGTACGATTATTGCTGATGAAAATAAAAAATTTGATGGCTTATTACACTATGACCTTGACTTCAGAAATTTCCGGTGCTTGAAAAATCGTGGTGACAGGTTACTTGCCACATTCTATATCTTATTATCTTATTACCATTTGAAAAATTGGAAAAATTGGTAAAAAAATGTTAATTTGATAAAAATGTAATTCACAAATTAATTTCATATTTTAAATATTTTCTCGAGATTTTCATAGTCTACATTGAAACACAATTTGGAATGACTTAGTCATATTTAGTGAAATTATAAAAAGTAAAACGTAAAAAACAAAAAATGCAATAAAGATGTGATACTTTTATAAATATTAAATTTTAATAATCTTTTAAATAATTTTTTTACTATAAGATAACAATGTAAATATAAAATATTTTTGTTTTTTGGGAATAATTCCAACAATGTTAAGAAAATAATATTTTTTTATCTTTAAATAAAAGTACTATCCTTAAAAATAACATAGGTACATAATTTACAATGATGTCCTTAATTGTTTATTTAAATATGAATATTCAGAGATCACTAAGGTCCACAGCTTCAACTTTTGCACTAATATTTTCATCATTTTGATTATTTTCATTAGTTTCTGCTTTATTTGGTTTAGGAAAATTTAATTCTGACCATGATCCAGGTTCTGCTTTCTTTAATTTAATCTCTACTTTAGTAGGAAGCATATTAACATTGCTTTGTGTAACATCAACAATCTAAAAAAAACGAAGTGTTAAACAAATTAGAAATAAGTACAGATTAATTAAAAATATTATATAAAAATCTTAAGTATATACCCCTCTTAGTTCTAAATCAAGATTGTATTTAGAGTTCTGTTCTACAAAGAACAAGTCAACAATTAATCGTATGGGATTTATTTTAATAATTGATTGGTCTGGCTGATATTTTTTAGCATAAATTGAAACTACAACAAATGTTCCTGTTTGATGCCAATCCATTCTACATTTTGCTTTTTTGCCAGTATTCTGTAAAATAATAAATTATTTTCTATATAGCAAATTTGTTTATTAAAAGATACAAATACAAACTTTTTAAAGTAATGAAGAATTTAAAACATACTTTAGATACCCATGTATGCTTTCCTTGTGTACATCCTGGTTGTTCTAAAAATGTGGAAAAGTCTGCAGTTTTCTTTTGACAGCATGACCAGTATTTCATTCCTTCATGGAAAATAGGAGTACCAGAATGAAAATTGCAAGTTTCATTATCATGTGCATTACCACTATATACAGCTTTACAAGAATTATTTTTACAACTTTGCCCAATTTGAACTTTAGTTTCACATGTACTTTGTGATACATTAGAAGTTAATCCTTTAATTTGTTCTAATAAAGTAGGTGATACATTGGGTGTCAAAGTAATTAGTGGAGTGTTAAAAGGAGGCCTTTCCAAAACAGGTCCATTTATAAGAGGTTGAGCGATTACTTCAATTACTTCATTTGATTTTGATTTATCAATAATAGGTTTCTCTGGCTGTGCTGGTTTAACATTTGAATGACATGATGTTGCACAGCCCTTGATATTTAAAAACTCTGTAAAATCTGTACATTTTTTATTACAACAAGACCAACCTTTATAGGCATCATGAAATACTGGATCTCCAGGATGATAAATACAATCTCCTGAAAAAACAATAATAACAATAATCGTAAAGTATATTACATGATGACATTTCTGTTGAAGAAGTAAACAATTAACTCTTTAAGTAATTACACTTTAAATTTTTTTAATATGTCTTAACATAATACATTTTAAAATAAATAACATACCTTCCTTATTATTGTTGGGATTAAATTTTTTTCCACAGCCACGATTATAACAATACAATAATATTTCTTCCTGTGACATTTTTGACTTTATCTTATTTTAATTTGGTAACGCACGTTGCATGCGATCACAAGTACGTTAACTGCATAAACTGTACCAACGTTGCGTGTGACTAGCATTCACTGATTACAACCTTTCTGTTTCTACAGTTCCGAAAACTTCTAGCATGTTCTAGAGGATCTCAACTTCACTTTCTAATGTAATATCTATGAAAAAAATTGAAATCAGTTGCAGCATACCTTTTTATTATAAAAAATATAATAGTAAAATAGTTCCTTTAACAATTATAAAAGTTACTGTAAAAATTTTGCAATGTAAAGAATGACCTTTTTTATTAAAATACTGTATTTATTGTTTAAATGTGAACTTCATTTTATAAATAATAGTTTGTTATTTAAAAGCATAATAAACATTTTAAATAGAATAAAATAGATTAGTTTAACTTAAATATCGATTTTATCACTTCTTTTTAAGAAATTAGATATAATTTTTGGTGTGTATTTATTATTCTTAGATATAAACGACATAATAAAAGAATAATTGAAACTTAGCATATTTAAATCAATTTAGTAAATGCTTTCTTCCTAAAACACCAGAAATTTTTGTTCAAATTTCAAAATATTTTAATTGTAACATTTCAAAATTTTACATAGTTGTAATTGATTACCACTGAGAATATGTATTTTGAAATCAAGCTACGTTTCTATATATTCTATATTCAAAGAAAAGCTGTTTACATTGAATGTTCAACTTTGAGAATGTACATATGTAAAGTTATTCAAATAAAAAAATGCTTTGTACATAAGTAATAATTTATGAAATATAACGCTAAATAAAATTTAATGGCATAAGATATTTTTGATAAATATGGAATTTCAAAATACATTTTTAGTATGCTACATTTTATTTACTACACAAAATACTTGTAAGTTTATTATATTAAATTTTTAGCTAATATCATACATTTAAGTATAAATTGCAAATTGTTAAATACATTTTTCCAGATGGTCTTCATACAAATTTAAAATATTATGAAACTCTTCATGCATCTCATTTTCAACATAACATTGTAAAACGGGGTATTCAGCATAGTTCTCATCCTTATAATAAAATTAATGAATTAGAGTTTTATTCTCATGGACGGTAACATATTTATTATTTTTATAGCATTATTTTCATATATAAAAAAATTGCTAAAACTGTATATGTTATTGTATCAATAGGTATTTTCGATTAATTCTAACACCTAGAAGAGAAGTTATTCATTCCAAATTCAAAGCATATGAAGTCAATGGTGATGGAGAAGAAAAAAGTATACATTTAGGTAAAACAATATTAATCGATCAAGAAATGCTTTATAAGATATTTCTCATATAAGGAATTCTAAATTTAATATAATTAAATTTTTAATAATACAATTGATTTTATTTAAGATCATGAAACCTTTTATCATGGCAGAGTATTTGGTGAAATTGATTCTCATGCACAAATGCACATTGACAATGGTATTCTTACAGGCAGTATTACAATTTCTGATGAAACATTTCATATTGAGGTACATAATCATTCTTTTGAATGATATAATATATTTCATTATAATTTTTCTTTATTATCTTTTTTTTTATTATAGCCATCTTGGAGACATCTTCCTCATTTAGGAAATGAAACAATGATTATTTACAAATCATCAGATGTTAAGTTTAGTTGGGAACATTTTCAGCATGGAGAAGGACATACACATGGTGCACCAAAAACTTGTGGATATGTGAAAGAAGAATTAGGTAATTTATCAATTTAAATGAATTATATTAGGAAGTATTATATTTTTAGGAAAATAGGAGTATTATATTTTAGGAAATTAAGAAAGATATATATATAATTTATTTCAGACATTCCTTTAAATATTGAAGAAGAGAAAGAAATAGAAGAAAAATCTGATTTTAAATCAGATGAACATTTCAGAACAAAAAGACAAACAGAAACTTATGAATATACACCAACAAAAACAAGATGTCCACTTCTATTAGTTGCTGATTATCGTTTTTATCAAGAAATGGGTGCTAGCAGTACAAAAACTACAATTAATTACTTAGTAAATGATTACATTGTTTAATACAAATATCAATTGATTTGTCTTATATAGTAATTTCATTATGTTCTTTAGATAAGTTTAATTGATAGAGTACATAAAATTTACAATGATACTTTATGGCAAGAACGCCAAGAACAAGATGGATTTAAAGGAATGGGTTTTGTTATTAAAAAGATTGTAGTTCATAGTGAACCAACTCGCGTAAGAGGTGGTGAAACACATTATAACATGATTAGAGAAAAATGGGATGTTCGTACATTACTTGAGGTAAAACTAGTCCTTTTATAATTCTATTTAAAATACCATAATTGCAGCTTATAACTAATTGATAAACATTATATCTAGGTTTTTAGTCGAGAATATAGTCACAAAGATTTTTGCTTAGCTCATTTATTTACTGACCTCAAATTTGAAGGTGGTATATTAGGATTAGCATATGTTGGATCACCTCGTAGAAACTCAGTAGGTGGAATTTGTACACCAGGTATATTAATGATATTTGTTATCTATTTGTAGACAATTAGTCTAAATTTTAATTTTTTTTCATATCCATATGTTTCAGAATATTTTAAAAATGGTTATACATTATATCTCAATTCAGGTTTAAGTTCTAGTAGGAATCATTATGGACAAAGAGTTATTACAAGAGAAGCAGATTTAGTTACTGCACATGAATTTGGACATAACTGGGGTTCTGAACATGATCCAGATATAACAGTAATTGTTTTAACTTTTATTTGTAATTTACTGAGTAATTTTAAGAAAATTAATTTAACAGAAGTAATAGAGTAGTTTATATATTAATAAGTAAAACTTAATAGGAATGCAGTCCAAGTGCTAGTCAAGGAGGTTCATACTTAATGTATACATATAGTGTCAGTGGATATGATGTGAATAATAAGGTACAATTGAATAATATAAAGAAAAAAATAATGATATCAAGAAAATACTTATTATTAATTATTTATGGGCTAGCGTTTTTCACCATGTAGTTTAAGATCCATTAAAAAAGTATTGCAAGCGAAATCAGGCCGCTGTTTTTCCGAACCAGAAGAATCATTCTGTGGCAATCTACGAGTAGAAGGAGATGAAGAATGTGATGCAGGATTGCTTGGTACAGAAGATAATGATGCTTGTTGTGACAAAAATTGTAAGCTCCGTAGAAATCAAGGAGCAGTTTGTAGGTAATAATTAATTGTCGTGCAAATTTCCACAACTTGTCTTTTATAAATTGAATGTTTTCACAATGTATTTAATATAATATATTTTTGTAGCGATAAGAATTCTCCTTGTTGTCAAGGTTGTGCATTTATGCCATTAGGTGTAAAATGTCGCGATGCACAGTATGCTACATGCGAGCAAGAATCACGTTGTACAGGGGCATCAAGTGAATGTCCTAGATCTCCACCAATGAAAGATGGTACAGGTTGTCTTGAAAGAGGTCAATGCAGACTTGGAAAATGTGTACCATATTGTGAAACACAGGGTTTGCAGAGTTGCATGTGTGATACAAGTATGAATCTTATATACTGCTAGAAATAATTTAATTCTCTATATAATATTATATATACTGTTATATTATGTAATAATATACTAATAAACTATGTACTACTGTTTGTTTACAGTTGGAGATGCATGTAAAAGATGCTGCCGAATGAGTTTAAATGAAACATGTTTCCCTATAGATCCACAAGATATTTTACCTGATGGAACTCCATGTATCCAAGGGTTTTGTAATAAAGTAATATTATTCATTTTATTACTTAATTTTATTATACTTTGCTCACATAACTATGATATCTATAAAATTATTTACAGGGTGTTTGTGAAAAAACTGTTCAAGACGTAGTAGAGCGATTTTGGGACATTATTGAAGATATAAATATTAACAAAGTCATGCGATTTTTAAAAGACAATATAGTAGGCGCTGTTATAATTATTACTGCCATTGTATGGATTCCTACTAGTTGCGTTATTAGTTACATTGATCATAGGCGGATTAAAGAAAGTGAAAAAAAATGGCGTTGGAAACATACAGACGAGCTTATTCATCCAGATGAGCAAAGACAAATTATTTATATAGGTACTCAACGACAAAGGATACCACAAATTTCACAACAATCATAAATATTTTATTTATGTGAATGTGAAAACGCCATGCATAATGAATTTCTAGTCAAGAATGCTGTTAACTTTTATGTATATATATGTATGCATGCATGTATGTACGTATGTGGTATGCGCATGCGCTATGTGTGTATGTTTAAACTAAGTTTTATTTATATAATATAAGAAATAAAAAGAAAATTTTAATTAAATGGCATTTTAAAAATATAAGAATACAATTCATTAAGATTCACAACTTGAATGTTATGCTTTCAAAAATACATGCTATAAATTATAGCTTCTAACCTCTAAAATTTTGTTGCGTGTAAGTCGGCAACGTGTTTTTACTAATATATGATACCTTGAGTCTGATAATTGCATCAACGTACCAGACGGTACTAAGTAGTTTGTTTAGTAACTATCAAAATTTTCGTGAAAATGAGAGAAAAATTACCGGAAACAATTAATTTCCCAAAAGAAGAGGAAATCATTTTAAAATTGTGGGAAAAGTGTGATATTTTCCAAAATTCGTCAAAGCTATCGAAAGGAAGACCAAGATATTCATTTTTTGATGGCCCACCCTTTGCTACAGGATTACCTCATTATGGACACATACTTGCAGGCACAATAAAAGATATTGTTACAAGGTATGCTTATCAAACTGGTTATCATGTGGAAAGAAGATTCGGCTGGGATACCCATGGTTTACCTGTCGAATTTGAAATAGATAAAGCATTGAATATAAAAAGTCCTGATGATGTTATTAAAATAGGAATAGCAAATTATAATAAAGAATGTCGAAATATTGTAATGAAATATGCATCAGAATGGGAAACAATTGTAGGTAGAATTGGTAGATGGATAGATTTTAAAAATGATTATAAAACATTGTATCCTTGGTACATGGAGTCTATCTGGTGGATTTTTAAAGAACTATACAATAAAGGTCTTGTATACCAAGGTGTTAAAGTAATGCCTTATTCTACAGGTTGTAACACACCTTTATCAAACTTTGAATCAGGGCAAAACTATAAAGATGTTATTGACCCTTCTATAGTTGTATCATTTCCTTTATTAGATGAACCAGGTGTTTCTATTCTTGCTTGGACTACTACTCCTTGGACTCTACCAAGCAATTTGGCGCTATGTTGTAATCCTACTTTTGAATATGTAGAAGTTAAAGATCACTCATCTGGTGATGTTTATATTATATTAGAGTCAAGCTTAGAACTTATTTACAAATCTGTAGATTCTTATACTATACAAGGTAAAAGAAAAGGATGTGATCTAAAAGGAAAATTATATAATCCTCCTTTCCCATATTTCCAAAATCTAAGAGAGAAAGGTGCCTTTGTAGTATTGAACGATACTTATGTCACAGCAGAAACTGGTACAGGTATTGTCCATCAAGCTCCCTATTTTGGAGAAGATGATTATCGCTGTTGTTTAGAAGCTGGTGTTATAATGAAAGATCAAGAAATCATATGTCCTGTTGATAGTTGTGGGTGTTTCATAGAACCAGTACATGATTTTGTTGGAAAATATGTAAAAGATGCTGAGAAAGATATTATTAAATATCTTCAAACAAATAAAAGATTAATTCATAATAACACTATTAAACATAGTTATCCATATTGCTGGAGATCTGATACACCATTAATATATAAGGCAGTACCTTCATGGTTCATTAGAGTAGAAGCCATTAAAGATAAACTTATTACGGCAAATAGTAATACTTATTGGGTACCAGAATATGTTAAAGAAAAACGATTTGGCAATTGGTTAAGAGATGCCCGTGATTGGGCTATTAGTAGAAACCGTTATTGGGGTAATCCAATTCCTTTATGGATATCAGAAGATGGACAAGAAATTGTGTGTGTAGGAAGTATTTCAGAATTAGAAGAATTAACTAATACAAAAATAACAGATATTCACAGAGAAAACATAGATCATTTAACTATACCATCAAAACGATCAGGCTGCTTGCCTTTACGGCGTATACCTGAAGTGTTTGATTGCTGGTTTGAATCTGGATCAATGCCCTATGCACAAATGCATTACCCCTTTGAACGTCAGAAAGAATTTCAGGAAAGTTTCCCAGCTGATTTTATAGCAGAAGGTATTGATCAAACTCGTGGATGGTTTTATACTCTCTTAGTTATATCAACAGCTCTTTTTGGGAAAGCTGCATTTAAAAGTCTTGTAGTTAATGGTTTGATATTAGCATCTGATGGACAAAAAATGTCTAAACGTAAAAAAAATTATCCAGATCCTGTGGAAATTATTAATAAGTATGGTGCAGATGCTCTTCGTTTGTACTTAATTAATTCTCCTGTTGTACGAGCAGAAAATCTGCGTTTTAAGGAAGAAGGAGTTAGGGATGTTATAAAAGATGTGTTCTTACCTTGGTATAACGCATTTAGATTCTTAATGCAAAATATTGAAAGATTTGAAAGAGAAGAGAAAATTACTTTTATATATGATGATACTAAAAATGTATGTTCTATTAATATAATGGATAGATGGATCCTGTCCTTTACACAAACATTATTGCAATTTTTCAGACAGGAAATGCATGCTTATAAATTATATACTGTAGTACCTCATTTGGTGAAATATATACATAATCTTACTAACTGGTATGTAAGAATGAATAGAAAACGTATAAAAGGAGATTATGGTGCAACTGACTGTCATCAAGCCTTAACAACTTTATTTTCTGTACTTTATATCATGGTACGTGTGAATGCACCATTTACACCATTTTTAACAGAATTTATATTTCAACATTTAGTTAAATTACTTCCACCATCTAAAGCTAACATGGACAGTGTTCATTATCAAATGATACCAGAATCTAATTCACAGTTAATAAATGAAAAGATTGAAAAAGCTGTATCTTATATGCAAACTGTAATTGAATTGGGACGTGTTATAAGAGACAGGAAAACAATTCCTGTTAAATATCCATTACCAGAAATTGTAGTAATCCATCAAGATGCTGAAGTATTAAAAGAAATAATGTCTCTCAAGTCATATATTCTTGAAGAACTTAATGTAAAAGAATTAACTGTTACTACAGACAAGGAGAAATATGGTGTTAAATTAAGAGCAGAACCAGATCACAAAATACTTGGTGCCCGTCTTAAAGGAGAATTTAAGTCTGTTACTCAAGCAATCAAAGAACTCTCAGATGAAAAATTACAAGTGTTTGTTGTAGAAAAAGAAATTACTGTTCTAAATCATAAATTAAAAGAACAAGATTTACGACTGATGTTTAGTTTTTCAGGTCCTACTGCTGAACAGTTGTCTAGACAATATGAAGCTCATAGTGAAGGGAATGTTTTAATTTTGTTGGATGTTACTCCTGATGAAAACATGTATAATGAGGGAATAGCAAGAGAAGTAATTAATAGGATTCAAAAGCTAAGAAAAAAAGCACAATTAGTTCCATCGAATCAAGCAATTGCATATTATGACATACAAGATCAAAACAGTAATTTAGTAAAAGTAATTGTCAGCCACAAAGAGTTTATTGAAAATGCAACAAAAACTCCACAAGAAAATATATCAAAAATGCCAAATAATGCAAATGTAATTATAGAAGAAATGCAAACAATTAAAGGTACTGACATGAAGCTGGTTTTGGTAAAAACTGAAATGGATGAAGTAGAGAATAAGAAAATGAATATAGAACCATTCTTAAAATATGTAAACATTGAACTTATAGACATAAAACCAAGATTTGGTGCAAACAGTTGTGTAGCAACTGTATTATTAGAAGCTCCTATTTCATTAGATCCTATTTCTTATGAACAATTAAAATGTGAAATTGAATTAATATTTGGTATTTATGGTTGTTCTTATAATTTATATATCGATAGTAAACCAATATCGGAAGAAACAGACATGTTATCGTTACATAGAAAAACGATAAAAGTAGCAAAAGTAGGTTTAACTATAATGCAAACATCTACAGTATTAAAACAACCAGTTTGTAAATTCATCAATGTCAATAGCACCTTGGGGAAAGGTACTATTCTTCTAGAAAATCCAGAAGGAAACTTTAGTTTAAGTAATACAATGTTAAAAGAACAATTAAATATTCTATTTAATAAACCAAATATTTCTGAACCTATACCTGAGGTGCTAAATGAATTATATGGGAAGACTTTTGAATTAAGTTGATTTCTATTTAAAAATGACCTATCATTAATTATTTATTTTTTATTTACATACATTATTTTTAAAATGTTTTTCAAATTTCAATAATTTCACTCAAATTTAAATTAAGGTTCATATTAAATACAGTATGAATCACATATTGTATATTTAATTATCAATTCTGGATTGGTGGTAACTTTATTCACATATTATATTTATTTGTTTCATGTAAGGCTTTATAAGTTGATCAATTTGTGTGAAAAACAGTATATAATTGTAACATTTTTATATAACTAAAAAGAAATAAACGATTATTATTATAAACTATATAATATATAAATATATATACCTTCAATGAATTCATTTCCTAATTTTATTAAATTCAGTTGAAAAATAAATTTTTATTTACACAAAATTAATCAATAAACTATAAAATATGCTAATATAAGAGAACATCAAATAAATAACTATTTATTTCACATTCAATAAAAATTGTAATAGTACCACATAATTTGATTTTTCTATAAACTATTATAGTACAGTGTATTATAGATCTAATGACAAATCACTGTTTTCGCCGATATTATTTGTCAAAAAAAAATAACAAATTTTTTTCTGGAAGTAATATGAAATGTATCTTCTAATAAGTTACAATTATGATTGCTTAATACAGTATGAGTTATGTATGTACACACTGTTAATGACTTTTACCACTTTTTCTGTTTTTGTTTTTAATGATTTATGTAATAGTGTTTAAAAAAACATTATCATTGCATATAATTTTCATTGGTATGTTAGAAGCTTCAGAAGATTATAAAAGTATAACATTTTGTTCTAATAATTGCAATTCGTATTAATTATAAATAGCATATTCAAGTTTAAATCATATATAGATAATGTAATTTTTAAATTTAATGAAAAAATTACAAATATATAAATACATAACAAATTTTTTGCTCAAAATGGTATAGTGCAATTGCAATATCATTTATACTTATTATGACTAATTCAACAATTGAATAATATTTATCAAAAAGTAATTCCACAAATATATTTAAATGAACAAGTGTTGACTATTTATTAAAATATTAAATGTCCAAATTTATAAATTACAAACGAACATTATACACGTTCCCATTTATGATTATATTTATATACGCGAGAAATTTTTTTTTTCTAAATATATAAATTGAAATTTTACATTTAATGCACATAAATTGATTTAATATCTGAAATGCAACCATAGTACCTAGGTATATTTCACCCCTTATTCATGTGAGTGCTTTTATACATTGATAAAAATCACAATAACTCTCCTTGTTCTTTCTCATGTCAGGAACCAATGTGTTTAAATGAAAATACATTAAAAACACATTAATGTTTATAAAATAATGTTTTGAAATAATGTCTTGAAAACATACACAATATTTCTGGTGTTGGCTTGATTAGGATTGAAATTACTAACTAATGACATAATATTAAAGCTACTGACATTGCAAAAATTGCAGTGAGCGCGTATAATGCGAGCGTAGTATTCGCGGCAAAAAATTGAGCATAATGGTATCGTGAATACCAAGCGAAACCTAACATGACAGTCAAAATAACCACTAATGGTCTACTCAAATCCCACTCATTATGTATTGAACTAATTCCTGTGCCAACAGGGATATCAGAAAATGACTGAGGATTAAAATAAATTGGTGATGAATTGTCTAACGTTGGTGTCTGAGAAGATACAGGGTTTGGCCGTGGTTGATGAACCAAACAATGAACTACACAATTGTTGTATAAGCCACATCTCTCCAATGTTTGGTTATCAGGCTGTAGTACACGGCCATTGAATATTAAACGCACTAATTTTTGTGCATCAAGTTCTGTTTGAAAATGTCTCCTGCAAAAATGTAAAATTTCATTATATATATTGTGAATTATATTGTATGTATTATATTGTGAATTATATTGTATGTATTATATTGTGTATTATATTAAAAGAATATCAGCCAATACCTTTTAAAATTTGCAAGCAACTCTTTTAGACTACCAGTAACCATTTTTTGATCATCATTTATAAATTTAAGTTTTATACTAATTTCATTAGTATCAGTTGCTGAAAGATTTTCATGTTCAGGTTCTATAGGTTCATTACATGTTGATGTTGATATACTTGTTTCTTTAGAACAATTTATTTTGGTTTGCTGTTGTAACAAAGTTGAACTATCATTGTTAAATGAATCCATAGCTTCAATAAGTACTTCCTCTGTAGCAGTTGCTTCTGATGTTCTATGTGTGTCAGGAGAAATTTCTTCATTTGTGTCTATTATGACAAACAATAAATAATTTGAATATTTTTATTATATTCTTAGAAATATTTTTAAATAAGGCATATCACCTGCAACAGATGGTTCAGGGCAACTTTGTAAATTATCATTATTATCATCAGTGATTGGTTCTATTGTTTCTTCTTCAGTTACTTCTAAATTTGGAGGTCGTGTAAATGAACTTAAATTTTGATGATTAGCTCTGAGTTCAGCTAGACGTGTGCGTGTTCTATGCAATACAAGCACAGTGCGTATCAGTGGTTGATCTGTAATACTTGTAGAATACCAGGCAAGCCATCCTACTACAAGGACAACCACAACAATAAAAAAATCTGTCACTTCGTCTCCAACACCTTCGATGAGAGTCATTTTTATGATTTAAGATTAACCTGTACAAATAAATATAAATATACAGAAAAAATACTAATATTATTGCAGAAAGTGGAAAAAAATCAAGAGTCATGCATCTTTTATACTAATCAATAATACATTAAACATATTTATATTTGTTATATATGACCATATTTATTAAATGTCAACTACAATCATATATTATATACCTTAAGAACAGATAAAACTATATTATTCTATTTTCATACGAGATAATGACACTATTGATTTGTTTATAATTTTTTATGCATATATGAATATAATATAATAAGTAAAAGAATAACCCTGATCTCCTTTAAGATAAGTTTAAAATGAAATCAATAGTATTTTCTTCATATAAGTTACTCTATAAGAATAAAACTTTAAAATAAAATTAATTGCACTAAAAGAATACATTTGCATCACTTTTTTAATATTTTACAATATAGTAAGTGAATGTTATTCACACGTCTCAAGGAAATTTGGACAGGGATAATTTCATATCCGTTTTTTTGTATTGTAAAATAAAATTTGCGTTATCGTATAACCTTTTTATCTTCCTTATAATTATTTGTCCTCACCTTAATTTGTATGATTCAGATATAACACAATAAAATTAAAGCTTCACCATTTATAAAAATCTCATCTACAAATATCTGGAGATGACGCAGATAATTTATGACAAGCAGCGACATACACGACTAGTTCATAATTAATAAAAACATAAATCTAAGAGGCGCGAATTCTTTTCATTATTTTAAAATAATATGTAAACAGTATAATTATTTGTTGTTATTGTACAAAACAAAATAATATATTAATATAATGTATTATATCACACTGATAGTGTATTAAATTTATTATAGTGTATATTTGTAAATTTGTTTAAAAAATTTAATCAAATTATCCCATATACTATTCTCTAGACGTATTTACTTTAAACTAAAACTACATTACTTTATTAAAAAAAATTATATAAATGTGCATTATTATGTAAAAAGATAAAAATATCATAATAATAAATTAAATGTTTAAGATGGTTTAGCTTTTAAATAAATAATGAAGTGATTTATTGAATTATATTCAATAAATTCAGAAATATCTTATTTCTTTAATTTACAAAAATATTATAACTGATAAACTTTTTTCATGTGGTAAAGTAAATGTACTGTACATCTCAAAAATGTCACGTGTCATGGTATTAAATATATCTAATACCTTAGATTTAAGTAGTATGTATTTTGTTCGATTTTAGTCACACGTCAAAATGGCTGAGCTAATTGCGGTGCCGTTGAAGAAACCGTCTGATGTTGATGTAATTAAACCCCTTACAAATATCATTAAATCAACTTATAGTAATGCAAGCGATCAAAAAGATTATACTGAAGCAATTTCAGACTTTAGTAAATTAAGGAACAATGCTTTGTGGCGAGCTTTCGAAAAGTATGAAAGTTCTTTAGAGGTTATATACAGGTATGAGTCACCTCTTAGTAATTACTATTTTAATTTTAATTATGTCAATACATTAATAAAAATAAATATTTTACTAAATTCTATTCTATGAAATCTAGGGGTATTGTAAAATATTATAATAAATTTTCTAAAATTAATTGGAATTTAATGACAAATAATATTTTATTAAGTTTGTATTTTTGATGCAGTTTTAATAGGATACTATTAAAATATTTGACTATTATAATAAATAATATTGTATTCATTCAAAAAAATTTATTTGGAAATAATAATATATTCTTTTAAATAAAAAAATCTTTTGTCTTTTTAGTTACTATGATCAATTGTGTGCATTAGAGGGTAAAATACCTGCTCATGAGTTACAAATTCCATTTAAATGGAAGGATGCATTTGATCGTACCATATTTGGTGGAAAACTCAGTCTAAGTAAGATTATTTAAATATATTTTTTTATTATTTCTGTACAAATATAAGCTATTCTTGATAAATTTTTGAGTGATTAGTGAACAAGCATGCAGATAAGATAAAACCAATATTGATTATATCAGTATTTTGAATTATGATTTTGATAATATTAATTTAATGATGTTTTCAGCAATTAGCACACTAGCATATGAGAAAGTATGTGTATTGTTTAATATTGCTGCTTTGCAAAGTTCAGTTGCAGCAGCACAGTCTTTAGAGAGTGATGAGGGATTGAAATTAACTGCAAAATTGTTTCAAGTAAATATTTTAATTCCTTTAATTAAACATAGTAACATAATTTAAAAATTATATAAATATTTGTTCTGATTTGATATCAATAATCATTTACTTAATTAGTATACAAATTTTAGCAATCTTCAGGTATCTTCAATTATCTTAAAACAAATGTTATGATGGCAATTCAACAAGAGCCAACACCAGATATTAGTCCAGAAACATTAGGTGCATTATCTGCATTAATGCTTGCACAGGCCCAAGAAATATTTGTACATAAAGCAATTCATGATACTATGAAAGATGGAATTATTGCTAAACTAGCTGCTCAAGCAGAAGAATTATATGCAGATGCATTAAAATTATTTCAAAAGGAAATTTTCAGGGCATTTTGGGATAAAGAATGGGTTCCTTTAGTATGTATTTACAATTTTATTTATATATAGAATTTATAAAAATATGTCTGATATGCCTAACAATTCATACATAATGCAATAATATAGATTGCAGGAAAACAAGCTGGATATCGTGCAATGACCGAATTTTATCAATCATTAGTATGCAAGAATAACAAATTAATCGGGGAAGAAATTGCTAGATTAGAGGTAAATTTTAAACGCTAATAGTATGTTAGATTAAACATATAAATGAAAATACAAATTTTCAGCATTCTGTAGAACTCTTCAAAGCTGCACAACAACGTTCAAACAAACCTTATTTATTCCAAGATTATGCTAACAGAGCTCAAAGGAATCTAATAGAAGTAAAAAAAGATAATGATTTCATTTATCATGAAAGAATACCAGATATAAAATCTTTAGAACCAGTTGGAAAAGCTAGTGTTGCAAAACTAATACCAATGCCTGAAGTTTTTAGTTCAAGCTTTAAAGGTTTGTTATATATAATAATAAATCTAAAATACTGTTTTTTACTAAAATTATTTTTTTTACGTATTTTATATTCTTAGACCTTTTTGCTGATTTATTGCCTGTTAATGTGCATCAAGCGGTATCATCGTTTGAAGTTCGTCGCAATGAATTGGTTAATTCAGAAATATCAAAATTACGTGAAATGACACAAATTCTAAATGGGTACAATGATTATGCAAATTTATTGAAATGCTAAATTTTTATTTGATAACTAATAACTATTTTTTTAGTGTATTAGCAAGTTTAAATTTACCAGCAGCTATTGAAGATACAAGTGGAACCATCTTACCACAATCTGTATTAGAAAAAGCTCAATATGTAAAAGATGCAGGTGGAATTAAAGCATTGGAACATTCTATGAAAGAGTTACCTGATCTATTGCAAAGAAATAAAGAACTTTTAGATGAGGTAAAGAGATGTACAAATTATAATTTTCTTTTTGATATGTTCATTCAGTCATTGCTATTTTTGTAGAGTGAGCGAATGCTCCAAGAGGAGCGCGAGTCTGATGATCAATTAAGAGAACAATTTAAAGATCGTTGGACACGAATATCTAGTAGTCGTTTAACAGAACAATTTACTATTACGTTACGAAAATATCGTGAAATTATTAATAATGCTGTAGCAGCTGATAAGGTAAATATGTATAAAGAATGATTCGTAAAATAATTATATACGCAAAAGATTTTCTAAAGTGATTATTATATTGTGTAGGTCGTACGTGAAAAATATGAAAATCATAAGGAAGGTATGGAAATTTTAAGTTTAAGTGAAAGTGATTTGATTAATACTGTTCCAACTGGATCAGCAGTCCAAGAAAGCAATACTGTTTCTCAACTTAGAAAACTAATGGAAGATGTAAATATTTGATATAAACTTATATTTTTTGATATAACTCTTTTGAATTACTTGTGTTATTATGTTGATTTTCTTTCAAGGTTGAAACATTAAAAACAGAACGTGATGTAATAGAAAGTGAATTAAAATCTACTACTATTGATATGAAAACGAAATTTTTGTCCGCGCTTGCGAAAGATGGTGCAATTGATGAACCAAATTTATCAGTAGAAAGCATAGGAAAATCTTACGGACCTTTACAAAAACAAGTGAGAGATAGCGTTTCTCGCCAAGAACAATTAATCTCTGAAATTCAAGTATGTCTAAATAATTTAGTATGATAAATGTATGATGAACGATTATTATTAATGATCATTGATATTATATGTTTTGTGATACATATTAATTTTAAAACGATTTTTAGAAATGTCATACAGAATTTACAGCTGAACAATCTGGTAGTGGTAGTTTAAGAGAAGCGATGTTATGTAAACTAGCAGGTGCTTATGATGCATTTAAAGAATTGAAGAACAACTTAAACGAAGGTGCAAAATTCTATAATGATTTAACACAGGTAAATGTTGATATAAATATTTTTATTAATTACACTGTATTAAAATTAAAATCTATATTGTACTTTTTTTTTATAGTTGCTAGTGGTCTTTCAAAATAAAATATCGGATTTCTGTTTCGCTCGGAAGACCGAGAAAGAAGAATTACTAAAAGATTTAACAATGAATTTAAGCCACACTGGTCCAGTTACAACTCCTAACATTCCATCTCACCACGGAGGTACAGAAAAAATTTTGATAAATATTGTATATACTTTTTCATAGTTAAATGTTTAATTTACGTAAAAACATTTAGGATTATCCGGACAAAGTCAATCGGGAACAGAACAAAGTGGATCATCGCAATTACCGTATCCTACGCATTTCCAAGGTGGAATGCCTGTACCATATGGAGCTGGTCCCACTACACCATATCCTGCATATATTCCTCCTCCTATGCCTGCAACATATAATCCATACGCAACAATGCCTTATCCCACGCAAGGTGATTTAAAAAATGAAAGATATGTGTTATGAATATACGTTATAATTGGTGTTTTATTTTTAGGAAATTATAATCCTTATCAAAATATGCCTTCAACTCCTTACGGTGGATATGCAACTCTACCACGTTATGGCGGTAACCAACATCCTCCTCAAGGACGTCCGTTTTGAAAAGCAAATAATATTTTATATATACTGTGATTACAAAATGTAGCCACATAAAATTTATAAGAATGAGGGAAAATGTATATGCTATAACGGTGTGGAAAATTCAAAATATGTTTCAATCTGTCCAATATTGAATAGTAAAAAGATAACACGTTGAAAATCAATTTTGAAGAAATTATATTCTTTAATTGTTATCATATTTCGTACAGTTGAACTTTGATGTAAAATGTATCAATGTATCAATACGCGATATGTGTTAAGCTTTAGATGATGCTTGAGAAAAAGAAAAGATTTAAATACAATAATGCTCGTGCAATTTATAAGTACATTTTGTAACATAATATATCGTAGTGAATGATTATAATATCTACAAATCGAAATCATTTAATTGTTATTAATATTCTGACTCTTCTTTTATATTTATGAAGATACAGTTTTATGTATTAGCAGTATTTGGATGCATATTATTTACTACTTTTCTAATTGCATTTCTTTTTTTTGAAATTGATTACAACTTCTTTTTAATAAATTTAAATTATGAAGAACATTGAAATCAGTGTAAAAAATATGTAAAGTTTTCAAATATAATTACAGAAATTCTCTATATTTGCCTTTGATTTTAATAAATATTTATAGTACCATATGATGTTTATATATTATATATTTATTTAGAAAATGTGTACATATTAATATATAAAAAAGTAAATTTGTCAGAATTTCGAATAAATTATTTTTGTTTCACGAACATATGCTTTTATAAAAGCTTTGTAGATAAATCTGTAGGTGTCAGATGATCATTTATATATCATATGATTGTATATCATATAATTGTACTTTATGCAAAGGTAGACAAGTTACGAAGCGAAAAATAATGGCATTTTTAAGAAATATTTGTTTATCAGTAAGTTTATGCATTCTACTAATTCATACAACTGTAGCTTTTAATAAGTATTCAGCAGAAGCAAATAAACCGAAATATGAAGATACTTTGCAATTTCTAACCTCTATTCGCGAGTTAGACAAACCATTTCGTATGGCAAAATTAAATGCAGTCTGGGTAAAAGCAAAAAATGTAAGTATTAATATATTATAAAAATATGTATATTTGTATATATAAGAAAAAAATATATATATAAAAATTAATTGTTTTTATAGCGTTTAAAGGATACAAAATTGCAGTCGATATTCAGTGATTTAAAACTTCATGATAAAGAAGAAATTGCATATAAACATTTTAAATCTGATGGGAAAGATCCAAATGGTGAAGAGGAAGCTCGTTTAAGAAAAAAATTAATTGGTAATTTACAATGCAAAAAACAATTTTGTCATATTTAAAATGTATATTATTTTTTTTATTGAAATTTTTGTGTACTTGAAGGAATTATGAGCACTTATGGATTATTGGAACATTTTAATGATACAGAAAATCCAGAATTATTAAAGAAACATAAAGCTTTAAATGATGGTAATCATTATATTTCCAAAAATGTTTTTACTGATAAAAGATTAGATAAATTATGGACAAAAGCGGAATTAGCTGGTTTTACACGTAAGTGTTATGGATATTGCAAAAATTTTTAATCAGTAAATTTTAATTATAAATAATGATTCTAATTAATAGATGAAGAACTACAAACTTTAAAAGAAGAATTTCAACATTATCAAGATAAAGTAGATGAATACATGAGTCTTTTAAAAACTGATGATACAGAAATACATCAAAGTTAGTAATTTTATCATATACTATATGATACAGTAACTTAAGATAAATTGAAATAAGATTTATATCTCTTTTAAAGATAGCTTACATTATAAACCAGAATCTTGGAATAAAGTAGAACAGGAGGAAGAGATTTCCAACAATGTTTCTGAAAGAAAATTAGATAAGGCAGCCTTACTTACGTGTGTATATTGTATATGCATATATTGTATATATAATTAGAAGTAATCTGATATATATTTTATAAATCTTAAATATGTTATTTCAGAGAAAAACATGTGGAGCTTAGAAATAAATATGAACGTTTGGATGAATTAATTGCAAAAGGACCAAATCATAAAGAGTTTACAGAACCAAAAGTGCAAGGTTTATGGCGTATTGTATTAGAATCTCAATTCTCTCCAGAAGAACGTGCTTCATTAAAAGTAAATATATACTTAAAGAGCAATAGGTATTATGTATTTAGCTGATGTATTATCAACTATCAATATTGTATATGATCATTAGGAGGAATTGTTACACTATGAAGGAAGATTGCTGAAATTGCGTTATTTGCACACGGAAGCTGCTTTAGAAGCCGCACGTCAAGGGAAGCAGTATTTAGATGACTCTAGTATGGAACAGAGTATTAAAAAACACGCGAGAACTATTCAAAAGTTACATACAGATATTGAAACAAAAATCATGCAAAGACATTCTGAACTTTAACATACATCAATAATATTTTAATAAATTTACATAAATATTATTACCTTTTAGAATTATTATAATTAAAAGTTACCTTACAAATATTTTTAGTAAAGATATATAAATATATAGATGTAGTGTAGTGTATTATTTTATATTATATTTACACAATATATTTTTAAAAAATTTATATGATAAGAAAATAATATATAAATAAGTTTTAAAACTGTATGATTTTATTACATTTAGAATAATAAAGATTGTATTGTCTAATTTATTTAAGTCCTAAGTTGTTTTTGTCTAATCTTTTGTTCTATTAACTGTAGTTTACGTAGTAACATAGTAATATATCAATGTTACTATGGTAATTGTTAAGAGATTCAAATTTACACCATAGTGAAAATAAACAGTTGAATATCTACAAACATGTAGACGAACTTCTTCCTTAGAATATATTATTACAGAATAAAGTGTGATTAAATAAGTAACAAAATGGCAACAGCAATAAAGGATCGAGTTATTCCTACTATGGATACTTTGGTTAAATATGACAATCCAGTTCTAGTTACTATTCGTTCAGAAAAGGTTCTTAGTAAAACAAATTTTTGTTGATCTTATAAAATTTAATTTATGGTAAATCATTGAAATTATTTTATTATTAAAACAGGTACCTAAAGAACAAGGACCGAAAATCGGAGCAACAGTTTGTAAAGTTGAAACTACTATTCCTACGCTTGATACACGACATGAAACTTCTGAAATTCTCAACAGAATATTACCACCTAAGCAATGGGAAGAAAATGGACAAATCTGGACTCAACAAGTAAGATGTTTGTGTTTTAATATATAATGTATAAATTTTAATATATTATTTTTCAATTTATCATAATCATCAGGTATCAAGTACACCAGCAACAAGATTAGATATTATTAATTTACAAGAACATCTAGACATGAGATTGCAACAAAGACAAGCAAGAGAAACTGGTATTTGTCCAGTACGTAGAGAACTTTATACACAATGTTTCGGTAAAAGTTTTTCATATTTATTAAATGGTAACTATTATACTGTATTAACGAAATTTAAATTATTACATAACTCTTTTGTAGATGAAATAATACGTCAGGTGACAGTAAATTGTGCAGAACGTGGATTACTTTTACTTAGAATTAGAGATGAACTTAAGATGACATTAGCTGCATACCAAACTTTGTATCAAAGCAGTATTGCTTTTGGTATGCGCAAAGCTTTACAAGTATGCATTACTTTTTTAATATATAGAAAGATACATGTTAAGAAATATTAATATTTCAATATAATTTTTATAGGCTGAGCAAGGAAAGGAAGATTTAATTGCAACTGCAGATGAACTACAACTACAAAAAGCTGAGTTAGAAAAAACAGTTGTTGAATTAAAACAAAAATTTGAACAGGCTGAAAGGAGAGCAACTGAACTAAGGGAAGCTGAGGAGAAAAAGCATATGGAAGAAATACAATTTTTGAAAAAAACAAATCAACAATTGAAAGTAAATATTTATGTATAATTTTTATATTAATTCTAAACAAGTCCAAAAATTTTAATAACTAAATCATTTTTATTTCAGACGCAATTAGAGGGAATTATTGCACCAAAAAGATAAAATATTTATTTTAATTTCATAAGGTCAATATAAAAACATTAAAATATTTTATTTATTTTCTTATTTTGTGATTAATTTGCACTTGCATACATCCTTTATTCACAAATTTATTGAACATTATAAAAATGTATAAATATTGTTTAATAAAAAACATAGATAAATAAATACATATTTTAATTCGTCAACATATGATAGTATCATAAACATTAAGGTACTAGTTGTATGAATAGCGTATTTTTATTGTATTATGTCAAATACAGCTTTTTAATTTATTTATGTAAATTGTTTCGTTTTATTATTTAATATAACCAGGTATATCGTATTATCAAAATATAAAATATACGTGACAGAATATAATATTCTTTTTTATAATTAATTACTAAAATAAGAACAAATACAAAGGTGTCAAAAGTACATACAAATTATTCTTATTCCTGGGTTTAACGTCGATGTAAAGTACTTCTAAACATAGGAGTTTCCAACTGTGAGTTTGTTTGTTATTTGTTGTAAAAATAATACAAATTTATAATATAATGTGTCTTATCAACCTATCATTATAGTGTTAAAAAATGGTATAATTTTTTTTTAAATTCTATGCAATTACTTTAGTTATAAATTCAATTTTAACGAACACGAATTTTAATACAATTTTATAATTATCATGTTAAAAGTATACTCAAAATATTTTGTATAATATTTAACACTATAACTATTACAATGTTTCTTATTGAATTATATATAATATTATAAAAAAATGTTTTTTCTTTTATTTGAGAAATGTTTACATTTCTATAAATTTATAGTTAATGTTGGCACTTATTAATTCTCGAACAATTTTAATAAGTAGTGCTATCTCCAATTCTATTGCTGATAATGGATATTAAATATTTATTATCAATATAAAAGCTATAGGAAAGATTTTTTACAATCTTATTAATAATTTAATAAATTGGTCCCGCTCCTTTAATCGCACTTTACACCGCAGTTAATAGTATACTTGTCTCAATTAATGTTTGCTTATGTTACAAATTTAAATTTATATATATATATAATTTTCATAGATCTTAATACTAATCATATGGTCTGTTTTATTGAAAATCGTATATGATCTATATAAAACGATATTTTTATACTTAAGATGATTTTTCTTATTATTGCAAATGTGTAAAAAATTAAAAAAAAAATGTTACATCTATAACACAAATAATAAAACTATTATAATTTTCTATTTTTCTTTTTGCTAACTATATACGTTGCAATTTCAACCTAGGTAAGTGTTTTGAACTGTATGAAGTTACAAGTATTATTCGTTTATAACATCAAATGAATCATAAATCTATTAATTCTTTTATTTCAAATTATTTTAAAAAAATGTTGAATGTAAATTTTATACTTTGCAATCTTATACATATTTATTAAAGGGTTCTATTATCATTAGCAATAAAGAAACAGCATATATCCCACGTATTCCGTTTCTTCGTTTCTTCAAATTATGAGACTAATTTTTTTTTAGGTCTTTGTTACTTTTATATATATTTGTCATACATCGGCTACCTTTTTTGTGTACATTTGAGTATGTAATTGAGTACATTATTTACGAAGTTATGTACCTCATGTGTATTGGAAGATAAAATATACCAACAGTAAAATATAACTACGGTTAGCATAAATAAATTAAAACAAATAAATTTAAAAAAAGGTAATCATGAATATGTATAGCAATAGTATATAAAATTAAAACAATTAAAAAAAATGTAATACTCATTTTACATTAGTGGCAACTTCAACATTAAAATGAATAGTAAACTTTAAACTTTAAATAAATTTCTTTCTAAAGATGAATGATTAAAAATTGTTGATATTTAACAATGAGATTAAATATATGTGTCTCTTAGAATGAATCTTAAAGTAAATTAAAACTGTTTTACATAACATATATATTAATTTACCTATTTCTAAATGAAAATAAATAAAATACTTTACAGAAACCACAATAACTAGCCGTAGTTTATATTATTCTTTTTGTTTAAGCTAACTAATAATTTATTTTACACACGTTAAAACCAATTGTGTATTATAATTTGATTAAAATATTTGCATGTGCATATTGTTTATTTCAGTGACCACAATACTGTTTCTGTATCATTACTTCAATTGAAGAATTGCTTAAATTAAAATACAATGTCATTTAGACTAAAAAATAAAACAAAACCTGTAAAGAGGAATGTGTATCATTTTATATAGAGCAATGTAGTATTGAATCACATCAATTTCTTATGTGAACTGACTTTAATAAATACATTTCATAACATAGCAATGTTCATAGTACTGTTTGTAAAAATACTATTTTGATATTATATTCAGCACTGACATATCTTTTATCAATATACTAATAAGTCAAATCTTATGAAACAAGTATAAAATACAAATTCTAAATTACTATGTTGCACCAGTCCGGGGAAACTATGATGCGCTAATGTTAATGACATATGTATTATTTTAAAATCAGTATGTTAATATCAGAAACATAGCACGATCTATGAAAGAAATAAACGTAATTCTCAATACACCTAACCGTTATATTAAATGATGGATAAAAAATTATATATTATGCATATATGTGTATGCTTCAAAAAAGCAGCGCACAACGAGAAACTTGTAATATTATATGCACCGATATAATAAGAATTGTAATTCTGAAATGTATAAAGTAGATCGATGTAATGTAAAGTTTGTATTATTAGAACACACTTTTTCACAATGATGTAACAAAAAAAAAAAAAAAAAAAAAAAAAAAAATTTTAAA